AAAAAAAAAAAATGTGTATGTTTCTGGTTGCTCATGTCTTCTTAGTGCCATTCATGAGTGGTCTAATGATTTTTAATATATAAAAGGAAGCTATTTGCCACTTGGAAAAATTTAAAGATTAGCAAATTATGGAGATTAAATGAGTGGTTATTAACCATTTGAGAGGCAGGGATCATAGGCCCCTTAAGTCAGATAAAAGATATGTAATTCTCCCAAGGAAACCACATATAAATGTGATTTTGTAGGGTTCAAGTTCTGAGAAATTTCTAAAATCTTTCACAGATTCTAGGCTAAGGACTTCTGTCCTAATGAGAAATTAGCAAATTAACTTTTCGTGTTTATTTAAATATATTTAACAGCTGTTAGAAGGAAATTGCTGATAATTTTGCAGAAACATGTTAGCTAGTGCAATGTTTTAATGTTTATTGTATCGTATAGCTGGAAGATTTTATCATTTTGAACCACATCTATGGTCTAATGTAAGGAGCCCTGGTGGCCTAGTGCGTTTCCCTTTGGGCTGCTAACTGCAAAGTCAGCAGTTCGAAATCATCAGCTGTTCTGTAGGAGGAAAATGAGGCCTCTGCTCCTATAGAACTGCAGTCTTGGAGGCCCCCAATTCTCCTCTCTCTTAACAGGGTGACAGTGAGCCAGAATCAACTCCTTAGCAGTTAGTTTATGGTTTTCTGTTGGGTATGATCTAGGGTAGATATATATGATACGAGGGACACACATAGATGATAAATGTTTACGTGATGAAATTTAAACTCTTGAATAAGATAGCTGTGCTTGACTTGGGCTGTTACCATTATTACATTCAAATGTAAATTATTCATGTCTAATTTAAACCTTGATTTTAATGTTCATTTTTTCTTTTTTAAACAATAATGTCTTTGGGAAATCTTTTAGAATTGCATTTGTCATGGGTGCAGGGAATTTTTAGCATTCTTTAGTTTATTCTTCATGAAAGCACAAAATATTAGTCTCTAATCAGTTTTGATGCAAACTAGGAATGTCCTCAGAATAGCTGCTGAACATGGGAATGCCTCTTTCCCACTAGCTTCCATGTATGTGCTGAATGCACACTGCTCTTTCGCTGGCCTCTGAAATGAAGTAGTCTGGTTTTGTTAAAAACTTCCACAAGCAAGTAGAACACACATTTATTTAAACAATGAGCACACCATTCTTATAAATGCCTAAGCAGAATACAGATTTTGGATGATGAATTTTATTTTGTGTTTTCTGCCATGAAAGGAATGAAGCTTTTAAAGAATGATTACATGCTTTGCTCTGTTATAATCATTTATTGGTGAGTGATAGCCCTTAACATGACTTACTCATTTAAAAGAGCTAATGTAGTGGTTTGGGCTTATAGTTGCATATATAAAAAGAATTAGCATTAATAAAATTTATGCTCTATACAAGTACACATTTTCCCCTCTATCTGAATGTAGGTCCCAATGAAACCTTATGTAAGTCGAAGTGGTGTAACATGAAGAATAGTTACTGCTAATTTATATGGGGAAAAATATGTGAGCACTCTAAAATATAAAAAAGCCTACTAATTCATGACAGGTAACACATTTAAAAAACTTTAAAGGACCCTAACATTTGGGAAAATCAGAATGACACAGTAAATACACAGTAAAAAGTAGAAATGAAGTGTATGCGTTGTGGTTGGTGGGGCCGGGGTGAGATTGGCCTGACTTCAATAGGCTGCTGGTGGTGTGGCGGTGGTACCTGCTGCCTTTTGAATGTATCACTACAAATGCTGAACACTGCTTTCAATTTTTACAAAGTAAATCATCTGTAGTCTTGATTCAGTTAGCAAAAGACAGTTGCTAATGTAGGCCTTTTGTAAAAAGCAAAATGATGTAAAACAACCTTTCAAAAAGTGAGGGGGAGAATTGTATTATGGGGGGAGCCTTTTCTTCCCTTCTACAAACGAACCTGAATTGATACACATCATGTGGCATAGGAGATAGTTAACAAGCATGGGCTTTGGACACATTTATCAAACCTTAGACAGGACAAAGGCAAATTATCCAGCTAAGGGAGATCACCAGCACAAGACTAGAATGGTGTCCCAGGATTCACAGAAACTAGGCTATTTCAGACCTGAAATACCAAGTAAAAGTAAACTGTCGCAAAATCATGATTGATGGCGATCAATTCATTACAGTTGCAGGTGAGACTCTTAAGAAATGGGAATGGGACTAAGGTTGGGATATATACAGTGTTGTTCATAGAACAGCATTGACCAAGGCAGTTCAAATTTACTGTGTTATCGGAAATTGTCTACTCTGAGGCACAGCAAAAACCCAACAGTGGATGCCTGTTCATCTCTGTCCTGCCACATCTAGTGAGACCTATTTTTCGTATCTGTCATGACAAATAATGAAAATTGAACTTATAGAATGGAAACTTTTGTTTAATATTTTCCTTCACACACAGTTATAAAACCCTTAACTTTCTTTAATTCTAAATGTTTGGAAGGATCCTTTGCAAATATTTTTTGTTTTGTTAATTAATCATTGTGAGCTCTTACAGATATCATAATATTCCAAGCAGTAAAGTATAAATGATATCACACTCAGTTTTAACCCATTTTCTTTCTTCTTGAACTCCTTGATATCAGCTCCCCTATTTCCCCTCCCTCCCCATCCTACCCTCCAGGAACCCTTATTATTATTTTTTCCTTATAATAGTTTTTTTTTCTCCCTATCTTACACAATCCAATATGTCCATTCACATACAATTCTGTTGTTCAATCCCATTGAGTGGGGTTATACAGTTATCAGTGCTAACCACCCGTATTATCCCCTTCCCCCCTCCTTTTTTAGTTCTTAAAGCGTGTTTTATATTTGTTTAAGGTGGATAGGCATGTAGACCTGTTAGAAGTTGCCCAAGAAACGGATGGGTTTTCGGGAAGTGATTTAAAAGAGATGTGCCGAGATGCTGCCCTCCTCTGCGTCAGGGAATACGTCAACACTGCACCTGAAGAAAGGTAAGTGTTTAAACCCTCTTAAGAACTTTTAGCTTCAATTCTTTAATTTTGCTTCTTAGTTACCCAGCTTATAGAAATAAAAGAATACATGTGAGTTAGCAGTCTTCTCAACTGAATTTGTTTATTGACAGTTTCCTAAAGGGAAGTTTGGAAAATGAGAATGGGACATGGTCTGTGATACAGAGAAAGATATTAAAGCAGAATTTCTTCTGATAATCCATACAGAGTGTTGCAGGAAGCTGGGACAGAGACCTCTACTTGCCCACCTGTACTAGCAAAACAGGCTTCTCTTGATTTTATATGGAAATGAGTGCGTTGTCCTCCAGAACTTACTTTTCTAAATAGAAAGAGATTGCAGACCAGGCTTCAACTTGTTAGTAGTAATGTATTTAGAGAGATACCATCTTTCAGCGTTGCAAAACCCATCAAACCTCTGCCCCACGGATTTCCCTGGGAATGGAAGGTTTGCAGGCGGGCACCGCTGTCCTGTCCGCCAGTAGCCATGGACTCTGTAGTCAGGGTCTCCTTGCTGGTGTCCCTTGGATCTCCTTGCATGGAGAGCTTCCCGCCATTTATTTATCATCAGATTAGTTCAGTGGTTTTAGCAAATTAGAAATATTTTTTACCTCAGTAGCTGGGGTAGTCTACCTTCCAAAGGTTTTTATTCTTGCAGATAAGTTGAAGAGGAGAAATAACCTGTCTACCAAAAAAAAAATTATACAAGTAAATTGCTCTAGTAATGTAGAGTCCTGCTATTCTTTACCTCAAAGCCCTGGAAATTTTCTTTCAATCGGAAAAATCTGGTTTAATCAATTTAGGTTATCATAACTCATTTTCCTATCTATAGATTATAAAAGAGACATACTAGGGTTTTCTTTTTACATTATTAAAGCAGGAGGGACTTGGATTAGTTGATTTTTAGTTAAGAATTTATTTCATTGTCAGTTAATTGAAAGCTGAACATGAACATGGATATGTACCTAGGAATGCTAATTTTTGGTACCAAGTTTTAGGGAATAACTGGATTTCTTGAGACTGGACTTACATTCCCATATGGATAGATAAATATACTATTATATAACATTTTTACCACACGGCAGTATTCTGTGTATTCTTGGTGTAAAGTCTTTGATTTTGGTTAACACAAGTGTAATATTTATAGCCAGCCATCTTGGCATTGTGTGTGATCTTGTGCCCCATCAAGTCAGTTTGACTCACAGTGTGACCCTGCATGACAGAGTAAGACGGCCCCATCGGCTTTTCTGCGGTGTAATCATTACAGAAAGAGATCTTGGAGTATTTTCTCTTGCTGACTCACTGGGTTAGTTAGAACTTCTGGTCTTTTGAATTGGAGCCAAATCTTAACCCTCACTAGGGTTCCTTAAGCCTTGTGCACGCGTAGGCAGCTCCGGGGAATTGGTGTGAAGCAGTTTATTGCGGTTCTCTTAAGGACACATGCATGAGAAGAAGGCTTCCTTGTTAAACCCTTTTGTACAACTGAGGGAAAATGATTATTTTGCTACACATTTTAAAATTTCAGTGAGATGGTATTTTAGTATGCGAGAGTTATTCACCTATCTGTGGGGTCGCTTGCCTTTTAGCCATGATGAAGACGAAATCCGGCCTGTGCAGCAGCAAGACCTGCGTCGGGCCATTGAGAAGATGAGGAAATCGAAGGACGCGGCCTTTCAGAGTGTTTTGACTCATGTTTGTTTAGATTAAGAGTAAAGCTCGTTTGTACAGTTGCCGTGATCAAGTTTGGCGTGCCCTGTTCTTAGTAAACTGAATGGGAGGAGAAGTGCTTTTCAACAGTGAGGAAGTTCAATGTGTATGACACCGGTTTTACCCTCCGGATTCTAAGTTATTGAGCTATAGCTGAAATATAAAAGGTGTTACTACTTGTCAGAAATCACGAGGTGGAACAGTTTAGTACGTCTGAGTGTGTGTGCCTGTGTGTCCGCTCTCTCGCCGTGTGTTGTTGCAGCCTCGTAGCATCTAAGCTGGTCCTAAAGTAATAAAGGGTTCATGGGCCATCAGTGAGAAATGGGGATGTAGTCAATGCTGGTTCCTAGATTCATGGGTGTGTTTGTGTATGTGTGTGTTAACTGTATATATTCACACATTTTATATTGACATTATGTAGATAGCTTTGAATACAGAAACATTTTTTTACTCCCACCCTCTGAATCGAAAGTACCTAATAAGTAAATAGCAAAACTAAGATGTAAGGTTATGTCTGAAAGGTACAGTGATTCAGCCATTTTTCTGGTTATAATTTGTTTGAACCTTGTTTTTTTTATTTTTTATTTAAGGGATTCTTTGTCTGCCCTTGAATAACCAGAGTCAGCCACATCTGACTCAAATATTTAGATGTAACTCGATGATTGATTGTCAAGATAAAGCAAGGAAAAATACTTGCTCAGTGATAAGCGGTCAGTTGTTTTCAGGCAAACCTTTATTCAATGCTGACTTCACATCTTAAAACAGGCACCGTCAGTAGAGATACCTTTAAATTTTTAAAATGGACTTAAGACCTTTAAAAAGAATTGTTTTGAGAAAAACTCAGTGTCATTCAATCCCGTATGTATGTGATGTCTGCCTTCAGTTCTGTTATACCCCTGGTTTTTATGTTATTCTAAAATTGTATTTTCTTTCATTATGATCAAATATAATTAGGTCTTTAGAAATGAAATGATAGTTTAAAACAAATAGTTCTGAGTAAATGTGGAGCCCTGGTGGCGGAGTAGGTTGCATGTTGGGCTGGTGATTGAAAGGGCAGCAGTTCGAATCCACCAGTCTCTGAGGGAGCAAGATATGACACTTTCTGCTCCCAGAAAGACTTTGGCCTTGGCAACCCACAGGGACATAAGGTTGGCCTGCATCAGAATGGATAGCAGTAAGTTTTTGAGATTACTAAATGTGCTAAACATACTCACTCTCTAACTTAAAACTGTTTTCTTATAAATTGTGCCGTAGTTAAATAGAACTATATACATCACAGTTCTCATATTTTGTCTATAGTCAGTTGATCCCATGTGAACTACTACTACATAAGCATTTTTTGGGTCTGAAATTCTGTTAACCAGAGTTCTGTTATAGACACTTAAAGAGACAGCATGAACAAATGGCCCAGTACAATCTTGAGGTGCCTTCCAAATTACAAGATCATATGCTCCATATATTTTACCATATTTCTTTGAAAACTCAGTATTTATTCATGAGTCACTGGATAAACTCCCCTGATAAGTCTTTCACAAGGACATAGTGAACAGTTTCTTCTTCAATTGTACTTTGAATGGTGAGGTACGGGAGAACACTTGGATAACAGAAAGCCAATTATAAAAAGTTGTGAAGATGATGGAAAATTTTAAAGTAGAACACAATCTGGTACCCCAAAAAAGTTGTCTCCATCTTTATTAATTATTATTTTTAAGTGTGTAATAAAGGGGAGGCTTTATTGATTTTTTTTTTTTTTTTACTTCCACTTACTCCTTGGTCTTTTTCGGTTACTTAAAACCTTAGGTATTTTGGGGTTTATAATCTGATAATATATTGATTGAAAATAAGGTTGATGTATCACTCCTCTTGTGACCTTTCTGTTTATCATGTCTCAAATTTAGAATATTTAATAGTGTTTATTACTAAGTTTATCATGAATTTAGCTACCAACGGATGCTAGAGAAATGAACTGATGAGCCATCATGATTCCTCAAGGCAACTGTAGGCCGTAAAGTAATTGCAGAAAATTGTATTATATGATTTTAAAGAACCTTTATAGTAGACCGTGGTAGCTTAGCCTTCTGTGGATATGTATTTTATATATATGATTCTATTCTGGGCTCTGAGGTGTTTCACCTTGGGTCCTGAATCTAGACTCAAAGTGCCAGGATTTCAATTCAGGCTTCTCACTTACTAGCTGTTTATTAGTTACCCAACCTCTGTGAGTCGTCTATCAAGTGACGAGGGTGGCACTCACCTTCTCGGATTGTGATGAGGTGGTAAGGCATGGAAGGGGAGTCAGTCACTATGGGGGGACACACAGTAACTGTTCAAAGGCAGTGATTGATAGACATATCCCAATGACCAGACTCAAGCTTAATCCACACTTTTCATAATCCCTTGGCCTATACTGAGGGATTGAGATCGCAAGGTTCGCATCTGTGTGAAGTTTCTCCAAAAGCCTATTGTTTCATAAACTTCTGGCAAACCTTATGTATCACAAACTATTCCAGGCCCTTTTGATATGAGTTTAATAATACAATATTTGAGTCAACTCAATCTCTCCTCTACTTTTTCTCCTCTTTAATCTCATTTCCACTTCTCCTTTGCCCCAGATAGATCTAGAACACAACCTGTTATCAGTACCTGGATTGGAGTACGCTAAATATCCTAGATGGGGCATAATAGCCTAACATTATTTAGTAGCTATGACTTTATAGGTTTGCTGCTTCATGAGGATTTTGACCTTGTTAACCTTGGTTACTTGGTACTGTGTATAAAAAGGGCAGTTTCACCCGAGTAGGAATTTTTTTCACTGCAATTATGTTTGTGGATAAATGTTACAACTTTTTTTCTGGGTAGAGAAAATAAATTGGGTAATGTGTATTTTATCATGTCCTGTTTAGCTTCTCTTAAATTCCAAACATTGAATAGAATTCTGGTACCTGAGAATGTTTCCTGCATGACTAAGCCTCAGCAGAGACAGGATGCCTAAGACTAATTCATGAGTGTAGTTGGGTAGAAATCCTTAGATGGCTGTGCTGATTAATTTTGCGTGTGAACTTGGCTAGTCTACCTTGCCCCTTTTTTGGTCAGTCGCTGGTTTGATGTTGCTGTGAAGGTATTTTGTGTTGTGGTTAACACAGTCTGTCGACTGTTACGTAAAGGAAGTTTGGCTCTATTGGGCCTTGCCCAATGAGTTGCCAGCTGGAGAGCAAAACAGGTTTCTCAGAGAAAGAATTCTGACTCAAGACCAGCAAATCCTGCCCGAATTCCCAGTTGCTGGCTCGTTGTACACATCTCATACTTGCCATTCCTTACAATTAGGTAAATTAATTTCCTAAAATAATTATACCTTTAAGTGTATATAGCTTCTTGGTTTTGTTTTTCTGACTGATCCAAGGATCTTCTTTATTTGTTATAATTTTACTCATCAAACCAGAGTCCCCTGATTTTTCCAAAAGATGAAAGCTAGCTTTCTATGTGTAGAAGAAAATTCTGCTCAAGTCATCTTGTTCATCTAGTCATGAACTTGCTCCAAACAGTTTGACTACAGTCTGACGGATGCGCACATAGAGCGCCAGTTGCACATGAAAACATCTCGCTTAAGATCATTTTCGATAGTAGCTTTTGTGCTTTGAAGTATAAAATGGCAGCACCACCTTTTACAGAGCTGGGTAATGCGATAATGCTGGGATTGCCTGCATCACAGATACAGCTCAGCCATAAAACAGGAGCTGAAATAATTATTCCTCTGGAAAACTCACACTGAGATTTAGAACCGGGGGGTGGGTGTCATACCATTTAAAAAATATATATTTTTATTGACATCTTACTCAATTCCAATATATCCCTTCCCATACAGTTCTGTTGTTCATCACATCAGGTGATCACACCATTCTTAAGATGTGTAGCTTCCATGAAGTCTAAGAATGACCAGGATTCCCGTGTGTGTGTGTGTGTGTGTGTGTGTGTGTGTGTGTGTGAGAGAGAGAGAGAGAGAGAGAGACAGTATCATCAAGCAAACAGTCTTTGGCAGATATGTCCGGGAGATGAAGGCCATCCATATGCTGAGCCATGACAAGCTTCATAAAGATTTCCTTTGGAGCTGTCTCGGACGTAAATAACTTGAGAATTGAAGAGTACAAGGAAGCCCACAAGATCAGCGGGAAGCTAAAGAACTTCATTTGGGGTAGAAACTCAGAGTTCCTGCAGATTTTAGCAGGAATTGTTTGGTCGCTTTGCCTGGAATATGAGCTCCAACTGTTGTCCTTAAATCACGTCATTGCCGGTTTTAACTTCTATAAGTGTGTAAAACCAGGTCAAAGGTGCCTGTGACAATCCTGAAGATTTGAAAAAGGGACCATCCAGACTTTGACTTGATAAAATGAACTACACTTAGGACTACCCATTTTTTTCTTTCTTTGGACATCTTAGGAATATGGACTACATAGTGTGGTAGTGTACAATTTTCTGGTGGTGGTACTCTCGGGCCAACTCCCAAAGGCAAAGATCCATTTATGAAGAAAACACTAAATGGGGGATTTGGGGGTGGGGGGAAGTTATGCAACATCAAAGCTGACTGGATGGAGTCCGACTGGCACCCACTCCTGTCGTAGTTAGAGATTTACTAACTCATACTGACAGACTACGATTCATCCAAGCAAAACTGGTTACTGTGCAGAAGGGTACGGAACAGACACTAAGAGACAAAGGGTCCTTATAGGCCAATTCCATTTGTCTCTGCAGCATGCAACCATATCTATGTCCCATGCAGATGTTCCAAAAAGCTCTAGGTACTATATATGCAAACACTTTATCTCCTCCCCAAAGGGAACTAACCCAAACAGTGCAGTTCGCAGACCAGGATCTTGGGATGACATCCATTGCTCCTCATGATCTAATCCTACAATAGGTTCTGCTATCTACAAACTAAATGGTAAGTTCAGTCACTACCAGCATACTCTTGTTCAGTAATTGGAGAAGAAAAGGTAATTAAAAACACAAATATGAAGGTAAGTAAAAAGCAAAATCAGAAAATTTAAATGTCAAAATGTCAAGCTATGGTTTCTTACCATAGTCTGTCTAGGTCTTGTCACTTCCAGAGAGTTTCCATTCTCTAACCCCCCCAAAATTCTGTGCTGCTGTGCCACGTCAAAATTCTAGGTTTGGCGTCCTCGCAATTCAAATCATGTTACGCTTAATGCTCTTTGAGTTTGGGAGACAGGAAGTCTGAAAGGCATGGTCAGGGCTGTAGGGTGGGTGCAGGAAGGTTTCCGATGAAATGCTCAGGATGATTCTATCCTTGAGTAAGTGTGATGGGAAAAATTCCTCAGTGCCATTTTCCTGGCCTTTTTCTCAAGCATAAAGTTTTCCATTAAAAAACAAACTTTTTGTTAAGTAGGTGAAGATTTAGAGAGTAGAGCATCGGTCTTATATTCAATAATCCATATCCTGTCTCGCCTTTTACCTTGCAGTCCCATCTGTGTTCCATCACTCATTCCACCCCCTGTGTTTCCCACCCGATGAACTTTGTCCTTGGCTAGATGCCCTTTTGATCATTTCGAATGACTGGTTATTCTAACACAGAGAGTTTAATAGCACATCTGAGTGGTGGCTACAGTCCGTCAACTTGAGTTCCATTCATTTTTTTGGTTTTAAAGAGAACATGAAGTATAACATAGTGGTGGGACTCTTAGAGCTATGATTGGGTCATGTACATTATGTTAAGCAGATGAGCTTGCAATATTGGTCCAGGGACTTCCTTGAGAAATTCAGGGCATGATTCGCTGTTATTTAATACCCAGTATAATGACATCTATCAAAAGACACACCCAAGTAAGCTCCTGAAAAAGATTGCCCTTCCCTAGGCTGGTTAGGGAATTGGAGGGCAAGACTATTTACATCCCTGGTCAATGGCCAGAAGAGTCAGTGGAGGTTTAATCCAGGTGGGGACTTTGCAAAAGGTTTTTGGACTTAGTTATCTATGTCCTGCAAACCCAAAATGTCCCCAAAATTTAGGCTCTAATTCTGAATTTGTATTGGGCTTTCATCATTGGGCTCTTAGAATGAATTGTATTAACATTCTTGGATCACACAGTAACCTGTGTGACGTTTGTTTGTTTAGTGTACCCCTTTCTTATGGACTTAGCTGACACTCCCTTAGATGCCTGCTTGCTGTAAGACAGGTTTTTAAGACCCAGAAGCTATTTCTGAAAATCACAGCAAGTTTTGAAGCTCTCCTGTTTACGACATATCAAAGGAGGAAATTAAGGTAGAAGTAATGGGTATTTGTTTAGCGTGGACCACTATTATTCTTATCAATGCCCTCTGCAATGGAAGCCTTTTGATGAAAGTTCATGTAGGACACAAATGCTCTCACACTATACCACTCCTGCACCCTCATTCCCTTCCCTCCTCATTCCTCAATTGTATTCCCACCAATTCCAATTTACTCAGTTCACTTCTAATGTAAACCCACCCAAGTTCTCTGATCTCTTCCAGGTGAGGTATACAATGTGATAGGGCTTCAAAACTAGATGGGAAAAGTGGAATGAAAAGATTATTGAATTTTTCCATGATCTTTTGGAAGCTCTCTCAGTGTACTTCTTGAAATTCTTCCCTAGAGATCCCCATCCTTGCCCTGAGTGTGGCTGAAATAGGGACAACTTTAGGTGGGTGTTATGTGCATGGCCATGTGTAACCTTCCTGCCCCCAACCTGGCGACATGAATATGGAAGTGAATTCAAGTGGGCATTCTGTATGGGCAACATTTGCCACTTTGGATGGATGGGCCTTCAGAAACTTCTTGTTCCTCCTCTGTATACTCCACTTGATGTTGACATGCCCAACTCTGGCTAGCTAGATCACATTGTACCATGCTCTTTTATTTTCTCCCAGGTCCTGGATATAAAAGAATGGTGAGTGAGGAAGTGTGTGTGTGTGTGTCGCGCTAGAGAGTGTAAGCCGTTCCTGGATATAAAAGAATGGTGAGTGAGGAAATATACGTGTGTGTCTATCGCACTAGAGAATGTAAGCCGTTCCTCTAAAAGGCAGGCAGAGTAAAGGGCCAGTGATTGAGGTCCTTAGCGTACGCTGGATCTGAGCCACAGCGTTCATTAGATTGAGATCACCCAGTCACCCTGTTTGACTCCTACCCTCCCACCCAACAGCCCTTGGTTTTGTCAATCCTTAAGCTGGGAGCGATTTGGATTGCAAGTTCAAATGTGTGTAGTTAATTTTTTTTCTAGTTCACCTTTATACTCAGTTGTGACTCCGGGTTCTCAGACTTTCATCACCATGAGAAACCCTAAGACACTAGCTCTAGCCCCCTTTGTACTCCATTCTCTAGGCAAAATGCAGAGAAGAGGGATGGTCTAGCCAAGGGTTTGTTTTTGCAGCTGCTGCATTTCCAGATTTGAATCGAGCCCAGCAGTAAACTGTTTTGCGTTTGGCTTGGCTGCAGTCTCATACCTGTAAAGTCTCTCCATCAGGTTAGGCCTGCTCCCCCGTTCACTGCATTCAAACCCAGGAGTTGACCACCACTGCTTTGTAAGTCAGTTCACCAAGAAATCCTTTCATCCACTGTTCTTGTTCTTTGCTAGCCTCTTAGAAATGTATTATTCTTTTGCTGGGCTTATTACTGTGGGGTGGTGGTGGTGAAGGTCTTTTGTATCCTCCATTCTAATAGAAGCAGAAGTTGTGGTATGCAATTATTTTTTAAGAAATTTGTGAAAATTTTAAGTCATGGAAAGTTCATTTCAACTTGATAGGTTTCAATCCCACTTGTTTCTATTCGACACTATGCAGTGGAGCCTTGGGCAAATCTCTTTATTTTTGTTGGTACCTGTTCCCAGATCTGTAAACAGGAATCACCTATACCTTCAAATACAAGCTGTAAAGTGGATATGGCTGTACATTATTGTGTCCTTATTAAACTCACATTTATAGGGCTAGTTTCCTTGTCTCTAAAATGAGGTCAATGCTGAAATAAATGTACTCCAAACTCCCACCAATCAAACACTGGCAATGATACACATTTTGATAAACAGATATAGGCAGGGTCCTTAGCATTACTGATCTGACATCACATAGCTAGTGGACCCCTAACTAGGTGACTTTCTTGTTGACGGACAGGTGCAGGCCTTGGTAAATTTACTTTCTTTAATAGGAAACACTTCCGTGCACTTAGTGATTCTGTTCTTTACCCTTGCTATGAGCCTCTGATGGAACTGAGCTTTTTCTTTGGGTGTTTACCTCGAAACCCAAAGATCTAATGAGTTGTAGAATTTTTTAACGATTGGGATGAAGATAGGAGATATATTCTCTTTAAGGGCTAATGGAATGACTTCCTCCCATAAATGTAGTTTTCCTAAATGTTCTCAAAGGCCAATCTTTTAACTGGTATAAAATATCAGTTCAATATTTCAGTTGTTTACATAGAAGCAGTTCATTATTTCAATCTACTCTAAGCTAAATTCTACTTTTATAAACTGGAGAGGAAGTTTCATTGACTAGATGTAAATTTAAAATTTTCTTTATTCAAATTTATATAATAGTTTGTTAAAAGTTGCAAATTCATTACTTTAGTTAAAAAGGCAGAAGACAGGTTTATGCTTCTGAAGGAAGTTAATTATATTTAAGAACATTAGCAACAAAAATGCTATCAATGCCAGTCATTACAAATAAATAGGACATTTGGAAGTTGAGTTTATCAGATACTTTGTTGCTTACACACAAGGGGGCATCAAAAAAGTCCCCTTTCCTGGAAAAATTCCACTTTTGGGAGGGTTCCATTTTCCCACAACTTTGTTGAAGCTCTTGCATATTTGAAGGCAATAAGACTGCACTATATTTAAAATACTTTCTAATTTAGATTTCTCTCAAATTCAGTGGCTCTCAACCTTCCTAATGCTGCGACCCTTTAATATAGTTCCTCATGTTGTGGTGACACCCCCCCCCAACCATAAAATTTTCGTTGCTACTTCATAACTGAAATTTTGCTACTGTTAGATCAGGTGACCCCTGTGAAAGGGCCGTTCGAGCCCCAAAAGGGTCGCGACCCACAGATTGAGAACTGCTGTCCTAATTGAAACTGGTCTTTTCTGCAATGACTCCCCAGTTAAAAGGTCCAGGAAGAATACTGACCTCAGGGAGGGGGGCAAGCTCAGAAAAGATCCCCAAACTGACAATTCGATTCTGACTCAAAGTGACCCTATAAGACAGGGTGGCATGGCCTCTGAGTAGAAAAACCTGGTCTTTCTCCCTTGGAGTGGCTGATGTTTTCAAAATAATTGACCTTGACATTTGCAGCCCAATACATTACCGACTAAGCCCTCTGGGCTCCTCTCAGTTACAGCAATAAAATGACAAACTGGGGGTAGGGAGAGGCCCTTTGGAGTATTAGTAAGTTACTTGTGTATCTTTCCCTTCATTTGGTAAATGTCCAATAACTAATTTTCTCCAACGAACTAAACTGCTAAAGAGAAGAAAAATAAATGGATTCTCCTTCAATTTCCTTATAGCCTAATTTTCCAATAATTTATGCACACATTGATGGAAAATGCTTAACTGATAGAAACCTGTATAATTCAACATCTCAGAGCCCAAACTGTGTACTGCATTATTGGTCCCTTACCAGTATTTCCCAAACCGAGTGGTGGTTGTGGCGCTATGAGTTGGAATGATCCAGGGATGGGGACTGCAAAAGCAGATACCTACACTTCATCCTGGATCATGACCCATGGTACAAAAGTTTTTAATTGCCAACGGAATTCTGGATAATCCTTTTTTTTTCCCCTGAAAAGACATTAGGCCAAATAAGTCTGGGAAGCTATGCAGTTACATTACACCTTTAGACATAGAAACACCGACTGGCGGATCTGGTTTCCATCTGGCCTCCTAACCACCTGCAAGAAAGCCGTTGAAGAGCAGCACAAGAACTCAAAGTCAAGGAAGACTCAAAGGAGGAAGAGGCAGAGAAGACAAAAATGAACTTTTCTCTAATGAAGAATTTCTTCTACAAGAAGCTGGTTGGAAAAAAAAATGTTGACATACGTATAAGGTCCACTATCCTCTGGCTAAGTGATGTGCTTGCGTTTCTTTTTGTGAGGACTTTCTTCACACCACCCGGGGGCATATTCTCCGAGAACCACCGATAACTTCCTGGACGTAAACATACCTGCTCTTACTGGTACTGGACATCATCAAGCGAGTAACAGGTTTGAGTTGGCTACTACAGCAGTTTTATTGGGGGTGAGGGCCGATAGCACAAATCTGCATAAAGCCTTTAGGAGAGAAGAGGCAAAGACTCAATGAAGGGGAAAAAGTAAATCAAAAAAACAGTCCTGTAGGCCGTGAGTGGAAACAGGTAGCCATTTTTGCCCTCCACGGACAAGTAGCCGCTGCTGAGGTAAAAGGTGTGGGTGGGGTTTGTGGAACGAAACAAAACCAAACTCACAGCTGCTACTAAGAACCAGTGGAATTCCGGGGGGCACTTTGAGAATAGGGTCTACTCCCTTGAGACCACGGGAACAAGTTAGGCAGCTTCATCTCCATACATGTTGGAAAGAAGGAAGCCAGGTTAAATCCTTACGCAATGAAACCCTGAGGGGAGGCCCCTCATTACCAGTGCTTGGTTGAGACTGTCACTCACTTGTCGAGAGCACATTTGAAAAATCATGAACACGGGCAAACAGCCTCTTACTCAGGATCTTCAGAGCATGGCTGCTGCTGAGCGTCTCCAATCACCCAGGGACAGAGCCATGGCCGTCAGGTGGCCAACCGAGACCCAGTGCTACTAGTAGTAGAAAAGACTCAGCCTTCATTTTGAGAAATTTATTCAAATAAGACCAAGTTGTACATAGAAATTGTCATTTGTTCTAAAGCAGAAGAGCAGTTTTAAATATATTAAGAAATCACGATATATATTGGTTAAGGCACTAATGCAGTCTCATGTTCAATAAATACAGTTGTTTAAAAAGGCAGCAGTGAGTGCCTCTGGTTAAATGAGTCACGGCATGACAGAATTAGAGTCGGTTTTACTTTGCTGTGGCCATTATTATAGGTACTTTATCCACCAAAGAACTCCCGTGGGCTAACAAGTGTTTCTCTGTTTTAACAACTGAAGGTATGAGGAAAAAAAATATATAGAGATCACAGTTTTTTCTTTTTTTGTCTAAGGCTCTTCCAGCAAGACCATCTATAACAGACATTGTCACTTCATAGATTCCTTGGCATCAATAAGTGATATAAAAGGTACAAAGGTGGAGGGAGACGTCGGACAGGGCAAGATATGACAAAACGACAATTTATAGATTATCAAGGGCACATGGGGGAAGGGAGAGCGGGGAGGGAGGGGAAAAATGACCTGGTGTCGGGGG